CCCCCCCCCCCCCTCCCCCTCAAATCTACATTCTTTACACCAACTAGCTAGGGAAACCCTTAAAGAAGAGATAAAATATGTAGTTTAGACAAATACTCTAGAGGCAGATCTAGAATTTGTAATACTTTTTCATATTAATATGTATACGTGTGTGCATGTTTCGTGTCAAACATATAATACATGATTCAGTTGAATCTATTGTTCAAAACCTACATCGATCCAGAGTCCCAACTATTAAATATCTTTTTAAAGAAGCGTATAAAAATCTTAAGAGACAGATAATATGAAGACGAGAGCTCAAATTTATAAATGTACTAGTAATCAAATGATGGGTATCATGAATATATACCTGGAGAATGAAAAGTGGTTTATCATCTTTTTCCAAAATATCAATGTTCTCATGAACAATTAGTTGTCTAAAACCAGGATTAGGGTAAACTAAATCACCAATCTCATTTAATGTTAATTCACTTGAAGCAACCATAAATACAGCCCCAGCATCACTATTACAATCAAATTCCAATCTTTTTGATTCTTGATTCATCCTAAGTCTCCCAGCCAAAAAATCATAATGGACAACGACTCTAGATAACGCGATTCGGAGTCTTTCCGTCACAATTTCTGGTGGAAATTCAGGATTTGCATTGAAAAAATGTAGTGTTTGGACATCAAAATTGAGTACTTGATCAATATTTGGTAAGAACATAGGTTTTTTTGGAGTTTCTTGAGATGGGAACACTAAGCTAGTGTTATGGATTGTGACTTTTAGGTCTTGGATTGTTGATTCAAGGGGTTGGTATAGGGTTCCCATATTGAAATATTGTATATAGTGATACAAGTTTGTGTTTTTTTTGGTATGGTGTGTTTTGTTTTTGTAGCTATGAGTTGTATATTTATACTAATAAAATCAAGTCTGGTGAAAGGGACCACCTATGTGTGCATGTGGTCATATAGTTTGGATCCCTTAGCTTCACCTTAATTAATTAACAAGAGTGTTTCGATTCAAACTCTAGAAATGGGGAACTTCAATTTTGTTATTTTGTCAGATAAGTATCTAGATTATAATATACACATTCATGAAAACTCAAAAATTGTTTAATTTCTTAACTTGAGACCGTTATGGAAATTCATAAACTTAAAATTCTAAATTTGTATATGTTCTTAATAGGAAATGTCATTATGAATCTGAATTAGTTGAACCAATGAATTTCGAGGTGAGATGGAATAGGGGATGAAGTGATTTTGGGAGAGATTTTTTAGTTACATGGGTTGCACATGTTTTTTAGGTAAAAATAAATAAGAAAAGAGATCTATAGAGATAAATAAAGTTAGATATGTGACAATTGTAAGAAGTATAGTGGTTTAAATCTAATATATTACTGCATTTATAGGAATTTCATTATCAGTACAACTGGCCTTCAATTTCTTCTCAAGGATGTCATACTAATTGACAATTGCCTATATAGTTTTAATTGTGGAAAATGGTTAAAAATATTACAAAATTTATTAAATGGAAACTTTACATAAATGCATTCTTCAGTCATCTAGTTTAGTAGCATGGCTAAAGTATATATATTTATACACTTTGGTTGTACATGATATGTATATATTGTGTATATGTATTTATATAATGTGTATATCTAATATAAAATATGCATTATGTATACATTGTATA